GGGAATAGTATGGTGTGACAATTAAAGGTGAATCACTAAATGCCATCATTTTACATCTAATTTGTGCTTATGAACTGACATGGCAACTCCAAAAATCATTTAAGAGCATTAAATCTAGCCTAATCGCTCTGTCATACTACACGAAGAAATTGCCATTATGACAGCAGGTAAGGTGATTAGTTTATTGTTTTATCAGAGGCATTTTTTAGCACTAGGCTTTCAGGTTTGATAACACACTCTTCCCTGTTTGTCCAAAGAATGATTGCGAAAATGAATAAAATCATGTGACATAAATAGACCAGATAATAAATACTGGGGAAGCAAAAGCATCATATAATAATTCTGCATAGTCAACATGATTGATGTTCCTCTACATGTGGCAAATAAGCTTTAAATATATATATTTCACAGTAAAAAATGGCCTCATTCCCTAATAAATAACCCTTCATAAACACATACTTGATATTCAGAACAGACCTAATTAATATTCATGAGTACATTACACTTATTTGTCTAGTTGGCACGTAAATCGGAGCATAAACAAGCTTGTAGTTCTAAACTTGAACACTTACTGACTTCTTCACCAAACCGGCGGTTAGCTGACAGTTGAAACAAGTTGTTTATAACTCATTTAAAAGCACCAAACAAAATCAGTCGAGAGAGTCAAAGTGAAGCCGAAACTTACCAGAATCAGCGCAACATTCTCACTAGCAGCCTGCTGCCCTTCCGCGATAACAACCGGATGTGAGGAACGTCACATCCGCCAGCTGATCGACGCTCAGAAGCGCTCGCGGCTAAAGCCTGAAACGCCGAAATGAAACAAAAATGCATCACTTGATGCAGTATAATGAGAAATCTGAATAAATTAATATAAGGTCTTAAACCAGTGTGAATGACTAATATCAAATTACCATCGTTTTATTTTTCAGTTAATAACACTGGTATTTTGGTTGACTGGTTGACGTGTGTAAAAATTGCAATGAACACATTAATAAAAAGTATATAAAATGGGACATTTTATTGGGCAAGTACAAAAAGTGGATGACATTTGTGACCCTGGATCACAAAACCAGTCATAAGGGTCAATTTTTCGAAATTGAGATGGATACATCATCTGAAAGCTGAATAAATAAGCTTTCCATTGATGTATGGTTTGTTAGGATAGGACAATATTTGGCCGAGATACAACTGTTTGAACATATTACTAATCAAAAATTAAGTTTTGATATATTTACAGTAGGAAATTTACAAAATATCTTCATGAAACATGATCTGTACTTAATATCCTAATGATTTTTGGCATAAAAGAAAAATCTATAATTTTGACCCATACAATGTATTTTTGGCTATTGCTACAAATATACCCGTGTTACTTATGACTGGTTTTGTGGTCCAGGGTCACATTTGTACTTTTAGTCTCTCAGTTATGCATGATTTCTAGTAAACGGATGGCCTCATTTCCCACCACAACATCATGAGGTCTGTTTTTCTTATATATGTTAATGGTCTGATCTAGTTTTAGAATTTCCCACCGTCAGTAATACTACGGTGACTGCAGCGTCAGGGCTTAAATCCTGGGTTTCATTTCCTCCATCAGCCACATGTTCCCATAACTCACCATAAAACACTATGATCACTATATTTTGTGAAGTAGGTGACAGCATCACGTCCCACCTATCTGTTAGTCACAATGCCAAACACAGGGATCTGATGCAAACGTTAGTTTAGGAAGTTAGGAAGTTTCCTAATCCTGGATCCTCCTAATGATATGATAGTCAAAGCAAAAGCTGTCAGCGAAGAATCTGAGAAATTAGATTTTTCACTTAAATCTATTTTGGGAATCCAAGCCAGATCAGTTTTAGCCCAGATTTTGAAAGCATCAAAGGCAGAGACGTTCAAGGTATGGGATAGAGAACCACTGTGCCGCCATCTGTTTACAACAGAAACTGGATGTTTTTGCCAAAACTGCCCACACATGCTCGTCTTGGTGGTATTAAATTGACAATATGCCTTGTTGATGAACATTTTCATTGTTCAGAGTATAAAAATCATACTTTCTTTCCAAATGTAAAATTATAGAACTTCATACCGAGGTCAAACATGTCCAATTTAGTCCAAATGGCAGCAAGACTATGAAATAAATTAGAGTTAGCCCGTTATTATGATCCCAAAATATGAAAAAGAAGATATTCTTTAACACTTGAATTCAGTGCAAATATATTTATTGACACAAGAGACTTTAACCTCAAACATTTCCATAGTCCTATGGATATATTTACTAATTTGGTACATTTTCTCAGATTTTCTATAATACGTTAATCAAAATCAACAACATGTACCTGCATGAGCTTCAGAGGATATGCATACAAATATGACTATATTCAATATAAAGCAGTACAATTTCTTAAAAAAGCAACATGTGGCTGTTGGTTTTTCATTTTAAATCATTATCAATCATTTTTTAAAATAGTTTAAGAAACTTAAAAACTAAGATAAGTAATAAGTTATCCAGCTAATAATAATGCAAGTTGTTTACTACAGTAATTGACTGAAATGATTTACATATGTTTCTGATATTCCTGATATACATGAGCACTGAACTTTCACCCCGAGGCACTGAATTTGGATTTTTGTAGTTATCTGTAACCAAATACAGTCATATCAAGAGATGCGAATTCTATTCTGTATGCAAATATGATGTTTATAGCAGCTTTGATCACAATGTCATTGACAAACCACAAATGAATCACAAAGACAACACTGTAGGAATGTGTTATTCACAGTCAGCCACGATTAGTTTGTTCCATGAGGTGAAAGTCTTCCAAAACAGTGAGATAAATCAAACTAGAATTTGTGATCTTTACATGGTCCACTCCGTGTAAAAGCAAAACAGCCTTTATTGGGATACTTTTTCAGAAATACTTTTCAACTCTATGTGTGAAACCTCTTTAATGACAGAAAAATTACTGAGTGCACCGATATGATTTCGCCACATCTACCAATGGTGGTGAATTTAGAAATTCTTTTACATCATTTTAGAAATTAGTAATAATTTATTTTTATATTTTCAAATATATAACATTTTATGTTTTTATAAATATAATTATATTTATAAATATGCAAATATTAAATGTTACATTTTTATAAATATATTTATATTTATAAATATGCAAATATAATTACAAACATTCTTTTTTTTTGTGCTAAATTAAATATAGTTTGAAGTGCAGTCCAACTACGAGGATGTTGGCAGTGGTTTAACATAACGTTAAACAATAATGCTGTGAAATACTTTCCATGTGCTCTGGGATTATTGTTCTTGGCAAATTATTTCATGGAATTCAGTATAACAATTCTCTGTACTCCAGATGGCAGTGTAGGCCCACAGAAATGCACCGATCACAAAACATACTGCGACTCAAAACACACATAAAACAAACATGACATGAACACTTGACACATTTCTCAACACTTCACATTCGTACCGCGCTCCTCATAGAACTAAACATTTGTACTTTACCTGTTTGTAAACGCAAGGATGGTATTATATGACTGCTGATGGATTTTACCTTATATATTTCTATAATCATGCCAATGTCGGGGTGAGTTATTTGTTTGAGGTTGTTTGACCACTTCAAAATTCCAGTCTTTCAGAGTCTCTTTTTGTCTCTGAATACAAACAGACAGCTGCTTTTATCAAACGATGGAATTATTGACCAGTAATCAATAAACAATAATTCTGATTTCCAAACAAGGTTCTGCATTATGAAAAAATCTCTAAAGTTTCTCAAACTTTGCTCTTTCAGTCCACATTTCTGCACTCATCCTCTGCCATATCATCCGCTTCTACTTCCTCCTCCTCCTCTTCATCAGTCGGTGCTGTGGCTCCTGCATTTCTCATGCCAGGCTGGTGTTCTGCCATGCCCCTTTGCTCCTGTGAATCTTTAAAATGAGTATTTATTAAATAAAATAAAATAAAAAATGGAATCAACAGATAATCTCATCTTTGATTGGCTAATGTTTTGGGTTGAATGTTACATGCAAATATGATAATGTTTGTTGACCTGGAACATTAGCATTGGTATGAGAGAGCAGCACAACATAAGAAAACAATGATGTTTTAAAGACACAAAGACCAAATATACTTTATCAGTGTTTAAATATAAGACTAAGACAGAACTTTTTATAAAAAGTGTAAATTTGCATTGAAATTTAGTGGGGAAAAATGGAGATGCACAATGAAAGACTCTACTCTGGACCCAAGAGAAAGAAGTAACTCTTCGGTTTTCCCCCACTTAAAACAAGTCTTAAAAACCCAATGACCCAAAGTCCACCTCCAACTGCATGAAAACGGTGCTAAATAGTGTCTAAATGTGTGCCTACAATATATTTGTCTGTGGGTCAGTCTCAGGAAACTGTTATCTGCGCTGTTATCACTTAATATTAATATAATTAACAGAATACTGAACAGTTCACATTATTTGGTACTGTAGTTTTATCGCTGTTTAATGCATAATTCAATAGAAATGTATTTATTATATATGCATAATGCAAAAGAAATGTTAAAATAAACATTAAAAAACGTAACTTTTGACTTTTCTTTACATTTGCCCCTTTAAAAATAATAGTAGTAGTAGAAAAAGTATATAGTAATATTAATCTAACATAACAGAAAGTGTCTTCTCTTACTATTGTTTTTGTAAGGCTGATGTGAATGTTCAGCAGTAATCTTTTCAAATTAAATTATAAAAAAATAAATACTGACAGCATTAATAAATAAATAACAAAAATTGTATAAAATATTATAAAATAAATAATTAGATATTAATAATATAAAACATTATAATGTAAAACATTAATCACTGCTGTCACTGTTCTGTGAGAATGGCCTATATTTCTTGATGATGATGACATGCATATGTAGAGGGTTCCTCTGTGATGTGATATTAAGATTACCAGGTATGCAGGATGAGGAAAGCTCCGCCCCCCCTTCCTCCTCTACATGACGATACACACCTAATTTCTGCATGTGAGCTTCAGCCATCTGCTGCACGGCTATAAACACACACACACACACACACACCACACACGGGGATTCACAAATCAGGGATCACCAAACCACAAGGAGAAAACACAGGAACATACTCAAACACACACAGGTAAAGAGGGATGGATGGGTCTGTTTACTTTTTAACAGGACTTCTGCACCGTGCCAACCAGAAAAGGTTTTATTTATGCTGCAATGATAGGACATATATGGACAGGGATAAACCACCTGTCTTTTTGATGATTCACAAAACAGACAAAACACACATTCAGAGACAATATCACAGTAATGCATAGCTATTTTCCCTTCTTTTAATTTCACACATTACTATAATAAATTCATGTCATCATTGTCCGATTTATTTGTTTTTGACAGAAAAAAGGTAATTTTGACTCTCAATTCACTTTTTTCCTCACAATTTTGAGTCGGTGTCTTACAATTCAGACTTTTTTCCTCACAATTCTGAGGAAAAAAGTCAGAATTCTGATATAAAAACTCAGAATTGCGAGATATAAACTAAATATAAATTCTGACTCTCTTGCAATTCTGAGTGTATATCTGACTTTCTTCCTCAGAATTCTGAGTTTACATATTACAATTGTTTTTTTTTTTTGCCATGAAATGAAAAATACAAATTTAATTGTACATTAAAATGTAACTGCTAATTTTTTTTTTAAATCTCACAATTCTGATTTTCTTCACGAAATTGCGAGTTTATATCTCACAACTGAGATTTTTCTCTCTCAGAATTGCGAGTTAATATTAGATAAAAACAAGTGTGGCAGAAACAAGCTTCCTTAGTTTCTCATAGAACGTGCTAAGAGAAATACATAGATCAATTGAGACAATTAAGCAATATTAGAAAAGCAGTAGTGCTGTCAAACTCAATATAACTTTGATTTCAAATGGATTTTTCTATCAACAATAAGTTAATATTGTGTAACTTACAATTAAGACAAAATACAGCCAGTTATTTTATTTTTGCTTCGTCAATGAAAATAGATCTAAATTAAGCAAAAGACGAAAACAACAGCATCATGTTGACATAATCTAAAGAATGTCCTCAGTGGGTCACAATCTTTCTAGTGCACTAGTCTGATGGCGAATGTTTCTGATGGACGTCTGTCCTCTAAAACTGTGTGTGTTTGCAGCTGTATGCTATCTGCTGTAATCTAGGATGATCCAGAGCAGCACAGACTCACACCCATCACAGCTGTCTCCATCTCTAATCTTACTCACACACGCATGGTAAAATAGGAAAAACAGACTTGCAGCTTGGGACAGTTTTTAAACCCAGGGCCAGCACAGTGCAGGAAAGTCTTCAGAAACAATATATACCAAAGGAGTATACACACTCTAAAAAATGCTGGGTTAAATACAACCCAGTGCTGGGTGAAATATGGACAAACCCAGCAACTGGGCTGTTTTGACCCAGCAGTTGGGTTAAATGTTTAACCCAACCTTCTGGGTAGTAACCCAACCGCTGGGTCAAAACAACCCAATTGCTGGGTTTGTCCCTATTTTACCCAGCACTGGGTTGTATTTAACCTAGCATTTTTTAGAGTGAATACAACAGTCACAGATCACATATCACAGGCAAAACTACAGGCCTTTACCTTTTAATGATGGTGGCTGGTAGATATTCGGGTTGATTCGTTTTGGCTTGAGGACACCATTTTCTCCTACAACCCACTGAAGATGGCATAAATGTTAAATGTAAATACGATATATATATATATATATATATATATAATGACTATATATAATATTTAAACAGTTAATTAATATTAGCTGTAATAATTAAATTATTAATACAATGGTTGTCATTTTCGTTAGCTTTTTAATATGTCTATATAATTTTTATTTAAGTTTTTGGTTAATTTCATTTGAGTCATTTTAGTAATTCAAACTAAATGAAAATGAGAATGTTGCCTTGGCTATTATAAAATTTGTTATTTTATTTATTGATTTATTTATTTTATTTAATGTTTATTTTATTTAAAGTAATTAAAATGTTTTTATAGTTTTATAAAACTATAGTTTTTTTAATAAAAACAATAATAACCCTGATAGGAACATTTACATTTTTCTGGTAAATATTGTAAATGGATAAACAACAGCAAGAACAAATTTTGAAATCATTATGAAAAATGCTTTTCTCTCTTATATTAATGCAATGTTTTTACTATGGTATTATTTATCATGTACCATAGAGATACAACAGTATATATGTATATAATCTATAATATCAGTACTGTATAATCACTTGGGCACAGTATGTTTATTGTAAGGGATTTCAATGAGGGAAGTTATTACCATAAATATACGCAACGTAAATTCAGCATTACTCATGCCATTTAACCTCCAGAACTGAGGTGGCACTGTGGTACCTGATGGGTGGAGATGTCATCCTCAGGAGATGTTTGGTCTGCTACTTTGAACAAAGTGGCAGGTGTGGGTCTTCGTCGTCGAATCTGAAAGATAAGCAGTAGAGAAATGTTACCGCAAAATAGAAAATGAAAGAAAATCATCACATTTTGCATAAGTATCAGTGAGGAGCCAGGCCACTTTTATTCATGGCGATTAGCAGTACAATTATTACAGGGTCAGTCCTCCTGCAACATAATTCATTTCACAACACCTTTGCATATTAACGTGTGATATAGGCTTATAATTTGTATTCTTATTTTATTACATTTAAATGAATCATTCTGTATTCATTTATTTTATACATTTTACATTTATATTTATTTGTAATTCATCTTTATCACAGTCTATCACAAACCCCCTGCAATATCCCCATTTAGGAAACCTTGTTCTAGATGTTGACTTTAATAAGGACATTCTGAATATATGTCATTGCACATGTGACATCTTGGCCAAAAAAAATGTGAATTAGAGAACTATATCTGCTGCCTCCCTCCACTCAAACCCTTTCGATTTCCTCTACCCAACAGTCCCGGAACAGAGAACATTCATACAAATCTGCCAGATACTAAATGCGCAAGGATACAAATGGAAAAAGTGACTTTAGAGTACAACGAAGCTCAAAAGTACACAGAGAACCGACTGACTAATGATCTCAAGAAAACAGCTCTTCCTCAACTAATCTCCTAGTCATTTAGTAATTCTGCCAGGTAAACAACCCCACATCATGGCAAAATCCTGACTGAAACCACTCAATTATTAACTTAAAGTTTACCAAAAGAGAATAGGAGAATTGTTTATGTGACCGTCACAATGAGGTCCAGGACAAATTTTCTTTCAGGGACAATAAAGTATCTTTCAATTTCAATTAAACTTTGATATGGGTTTCATTTTTAATAACAACAAATAAATGAAATTTCACCAATTGTGTCATTTTAACAGTCAAAGATAACCAGAGTCAGTAAGTTTGATCCCAAACTAAACCCAAGTGAAGAGCACTGATCGAAAGAGAAAATCTTTC